TGACCCCTGACCTGCACCGCACTCTTCGACAACAACACCTGCTGTCTCTTCGTCGGCGGACCCGTTGTGGTGAACACGGGTTTCGTGTCGTCGACGTCGCTGTTATCGAAGTCGCCGTACCTTCGGGGTCGACCCCTTTTGCGTGTATACCGACCGGCGCTGCCATTATCATCGCCACCGCCGGCAGCTATCGGTTTGATGTCATTCTTCTCCTCGTAAGACGTGATAATATCCGACAACTCCTTCACTTCCAGCGTTTTGGCCGACATCTTGAGCGACGGGAACCGGTCCTGCGTGACAGTCACCTCTCCCCTGTACATGAGGTCAATGATGGCCCGGAGGTCGGCGTACGGCATGTCCTTCAAGACGATGAACGGATAGTGCAGTGGATTCTGGATGGAGTCGAAGACCCGCTTAAAGAATGGGCTGAATATCGATAGGACTGTCCGGTGAGCCTTCACTATATTCTGGCCGCAAGTGATGGACACGTCTGTCATCGACTCCTTGTCCAGAAGCGACTCGAAACCTAGTCATCGGCGGTAAGCGTGAGATAAGTTTGAGATTAGTATTGAATAGTTTTATTGAAGTTTTGTATTCATTGGAAAAGTTTGGAAAAGTTTTTTTTGCTTTACTTTTCCCATTGAATGCAAGTTATGTGTGATTTTAAATGTGGTTTAATTGAAAGTAACTAGCTAATATTGATTGCGATATGAGTCGGATTTAATTTGAAAGTTATTTTTGGGTTTAATTATGAGAAATAGTAGCCGGGTTATAAGTGTAGCAAAAATAGATTTTTATTACATTATAATTTTTATGCTAAACTAGTGCTGAAAGTATGTTCATATTCCCAATCCCATCCCGTTTCGTAAATTTAAAGCAAATGAAATAAATGTCTAAATAAACTATGGGATTAACGCTTAAAAATAATTATCCCTTAACTAGGGTTGTAAAATTGAAAATATTTGATACATGTATGCAAATTATTTAAAATTTTAATCAATCAAATTCTTATATTTAAAATTATAAAACGGTATAAAAATCAATAAATTAAATTAACGTCAATATTAAATAACTTTAATAGGGTAATTAAAATGAAAATATTGCAATGTAAGGTAATTACGATTCCCATTGAAATAACATGTAAACGAATAGACAGGGTACTAAATAAATATAAATACGCCCACACATTGCATTAACATAGCGTGCGATCAAAGGTCCCTGGTATCTAGGTGCTAAATATGGTAAATATATTCACAATTATTACTATAAATCAGTAAAATATAGTGTAATCATGCGATAAATTGCATAATAATTGCATAAAAATCACAACAAATCGTAAAACCCTTGCCTTCAGTGAGTCGCGAGTCGTGATCTCCTCTGCGAAGAAGTAATAGTCTGGAAGTGGAGGCCATTGTCTGTCGCCGGTGTCCACAATGACTGTCACTTCCGGTGGTAAACGGTGTTTAAGAAACGGATT